TAGAACGATGGAATGCTTAATAGAAAATTGCTTTTTAGAAATCACAATCATCGTACGTAATGGATTTTCCTGAAACAAAATCTATTTTATACCATTGGAAGGTCATTGCGAATTATTCTAGAATCACATAACAGGAGACGCAATCAGTCATGTTTTCGAGAAATAAAAATTGCAGTGCGCGAGGGAGGACATTGAAATACAGAAGCTTAAAAATATTGGACAAATAACTTTTGCTTTTATTTGAAAATTTTGTGTGACAGCGCTTTGTTTTAACCTTATTTCTTACCCAGCACTTTTCACATTTTTTCAATCAAAATCGAAGCCTCAATCACTGTTAAAAACAAAACGTATATTTAAGAAGCGAGTAAAATTATGCATGGGATATTAATAAAACATTTTTTTTGTTCGAACAGTGACAGAAAAGCCAAGTTATAGTTATCAGGGTAGAAAACAAGAGTTGGATTTTCCTGGGTTGGTGGTGGCATTTTGCAGATAGGTTCGATAAGTAAAATACAGAATATAAGCGCAAAATTTTCATTTTTCCAGCAACAGTATTCCAAATAGATATTAACTCGTTAGAACACAGTGGAAGAGACATAAACACGAAAGAGATTCGTAATAAATCATATCATCCAAGTTAGTTTGGCATCGTCATTAAGCAATCAACGAGACAATAAGTCAGAATAAAGTGACGCCAGCTTGAGTACCACAGCAAAACGAGTCTTCAAAAAAATGATGGAAACAGGCTCCCGGTAACGGTGGCGAGGATGAAGACAGGTCAACGTAATCTGCATAATAAAGATCGCAAAAATAATGCTAACTCTACTAACGATCGGTCACCAAGCTTAATGTAAATGAAAAAAAAAAAGAATAAAAACAGACTCATAAGAGCTCGGAACGGTCTGAGGACTTATGCGTTTCACCTGCTGGGCGTAACTAAACTAGCGGCAACGAGCTACATCACTCAGAGAAATGAATCCAGATACAGCTAGGAGGAATCGCAGTAGATCGTTTGGATCACAGACAGGAACTGTACTTTACAGAATGCTTTCTAAGCAGATTGGGCTACTGTATAACTATTTACAAATCTTGTAGATTTCTCCTGGGTATCAAACTCACTAACGTTTCGATCATCCTGTTGACATCTTTAGAGCTTGAATGGCTTCTTCAGAGTTTAACCTAAACGGTTTCGGTGAAGTTCTGGAGAAGCCAACAGGACGATTGGCGAAATGTCAGCGAGTTTTATTTATAAACAACGCTGGAAGAATCCAGAAGATTTGTAAATAGTGAAACGATGTTATTCTATACAAATAAATTGATTATATGATGAGAATGAGATTTTTTTCGTATTGCAGGATTTTTTAAAAGAATTAATAACAGATAAAGGCATTTTTATTAGGTGTTTTTCTAAATAAAATATAAGTTCCATTTGTAGTCGGAAACAATTTGTCACGGGCAGACGCATTAGAACTGTGTTCGAAGTTTGCTTACCGACAAGCGGGACTACATTAGTTATTTGTCTGTCAACTGAGATTCACGTTAATTTTGTTCATATGCGAATGGGACGTATATAGTGTCTTTAAGAGCCGAAGTCTAAGGAATCGAATACTTAATATACTGAGCACTTCCTAATTTCTTCAGAAAATATCATACCAAATATTTTTGTTACGTAAAATACATTGAGACACTTGACTTATGATACGACTATTAAATAAAGTTGACTTTTTCCGGAATATCCTGTCCTTTCCTAAATTCGCTCACGACCCTGTTGAAAAGATGTAATTGTTGAAATTTGGTACTGGCAAAACGGATAGACAGTGAAGAATGTTATTTTAACTCTTGACGATGATTTTATCTTTAACGAATCGAAACTTCGCTGAAGGCATTGAAACCTTTGATCAACGCACCGGAAGAAACAATAAATCGTGAAATAAATTAATAGTAGTGCGCAATTAGTGACTTAAATTGTTATTTTAGACGAAATAAGTTTTCAATTACTTTAAGTTTTACGCTGATTTTAGTAGACATTTTAGTAGATATATCTATATTGGCTTTGCAATATTCAATCAGATTATATTTGTATATAAAAAGGCAGTTGTTTAGCACCTCGCGCACCAGTGTGGATTATTGGCAAACTTATTTCCGGAGATGATAAGGAAAACGTTGAGGATAATTGTACCCTTTGTTTGACGTTTATTGCTGGCGTCAGCAATAATTCCCCTATCGACGGTAGTTAAAGTTTTATGTCCCCAGATATAACGTTCACACACTATATATTATACGCGCACTTTTACTCATAAACAGCGTTGGACTTTTAACATTTTAAAATACGCGCTCGCACGTCACGAACCTGCGTCGCCGATAAGAACGACCATTGTTTCGCAAGTCGGGTGCCATTTTTAATACGATTACGTAGGTGTAGGAAACCAATATATACACGACATGCCATCGGAAACTTCGTCGATCTGTTATGGAAAAACCATTTGAAATGTGGGGATCACAGTAAAATTTTAATAAATAGCTGTTTAACGGTTTGAGTTGGTAATTTCGCCAATTACTAAACACAACTTAATGAAAAAATACTTAACAATTAAAGGCAAATTAAAAAAAAATCAAATTAAACACGTAGGGCTATAAGTTTTTTTTAATTTTTATTGAATTTTGACAAAAAATGTGTGTCACTAAAAAAATAATAATATAAAAGGTTGCATTTGCTTTAATTTTTAAAATAATAAAATTGTAAAAGATTTCGTGTCAAACGTCACTTATGATAAAGTATTTCAAAAAGGGTGTACTCTAACTCTACAGGGTGTTTAAGATAACATGCCCCAATATTTAAAAAACTATTTTATTACAATTTTCTTGCAATTTTGTCCTTTATAACAATGACTACGGGATGTTTTTGCTTCAACGTGGCGTCTCGGGTCGTACCCTAACGAATAGAGATATATGACGCTGTTTTTTTTGCAATTTTTGTTATTTACTTTAAATAAACTAGTAAAAGTACAACTTTTTTACTGTTCAGGTTTTTCACATCTTGTCTCGTTTACGAACGTAAAAATAACACCCCATCCATATCGTAGAAACTAAGTATTTCATGACCTACGTTTTTAGGAATTGACCGGGATTCTCCAACCGACAGTGGACGCATTTATTTTGAAACGCCCTGTATATTAGGACGTTGCACACGAAACATATCTCAAATTATCTGAAAAATTTGAAACAAACAAGTCGGTGGGCGTCGACCTTTTTATAGTAATTTTTAACGTCTATAGTATTCCGATTGCGCCGCCCTGTATATGCGAGTGCCTAGTTTTATTACTGCCCTCTATGTACGCACGCTATTAATGCGATTATGTTAATACGTATGCACATACTTTACGTATTACCGGGGAGGGTTCAACGAACTGGCGGCCCGCCAATGAACGTCTAGATCTAATAGACCAAACTTGCGATAGCTGAAATTGTATATATATAGAGAGAGGCGGTTCATACTTTCGTTATGAATAATTTCGCAGGCTCTCACATCTGACCGTGTTTAAGGTGAGATGTCTGGGAATGTTCCTCCGCGGCTACCTAATTCGGTCTGACGTCTACGGCCGGGCGGCATTCCATCGATTAAGCTCATTTCACACTTTGATCTCGCGCGCAGACGCGCGTCCCGTATCGCTTTCGTCGACCGTAAGGCCTCCGAGATCCCCACGCCCACCAATACGGGGTGTTTTCTAATTAATATTTGCGTGAAAGTTCCCATAAACGGACACTCGCGGTCCCACAAATTTAGGGAGTACTTCTAAGAAATATATGCATCTACATTTGTGTTTTAATTATTTATTATTATATTATTATTATTTATATTAAAAACCTCTGCCAGATCACGAACTAATTTTTTTTCTTTATCTAACAAATTAACATCTCTTCAATCCTTTTCATTCAATTTAAGTACCTATTTTTTTTTCCGTACCTTTGCCTTATGTTCGCTTCTGGGAGATTTTTAATCACATCGAGGGCTAATTTATTATAGGCATCTATTCATAAGAGCACCCGCTTATCGAAAATGGGTTCCAGCAAAATTTGTCCAGTTTAAGAAGAAAATTTCAAGCACTTGCGACAATCTTTGAACTCTAGTTGATTTGAGGTCAAATTAGATACTTTACCCAAGCAATAAATCGCAGAGGAAAGATGAAAGAATTCCAAGAAAGGAACCCATAAATGGAGTTAAAACGTATCCTTCTAACTCTCAGAACGACATTTTTTTTTAATTTGTAATACCGAAGCGCACATACGTAGCGAAAGCTGTATAGAAGTCTCCATCCATTTCGTCATTGCAATTTTTTTTTGATAGGTTAAAGTTTATCCAGAAGGCGCCCTTTTGAACTAAACGGAAAACTTTCGAAAGGGTCGCAAAATTTACGTCATCGCCTAAAAATACTTGAGCGGTGACGGTCGAAAAATATTTTTAGCGACTTTTTCGCCGACAACTTTCTAAATATACATTCGTCTGCGTAAAATTATTTGCCAAATAGTTTCGCGGAGGCCGATAGTTCTCACGAGGTCGACGACCTTCCAGACGAAACTGTTAGGACCAACTTTTTTTTCTTCGGGTCTAGCGCGAAAACGGTCCGAAAAAATCCGCCCCCTCGTATAACGCGACGAGACCGCTCGCGTAAAACAAATAGCGGTCCGCCATTAGAGACAACCGAAAAAAAAATCACGAATGACTGTGTATATTTTGGCTGTTTGACTTCTCCTAAACGGAGCCCCCTATATCGGGCCAGACACAGACACATACACACGAGTCCCCCACATTCTAATACAATTAGATTCCAGCCGGGCCAAGTATGAATTTGGGCCGTGCCTCCTGTCGCGAAAAATCCGCAACGAAATCGAATCGTCGTCGGGTACCACGCAGTATCGGTCAGCGATTCGCTGCGTGTCGAATTGAAAAAAAAAATAAACCCTTGGACGACAAACCCGACCCGACATGCCGAAAAACTTACTTAAATCTACGTCGCCGGTCGGACACGACGTCACGTCCAAATCCTCTTTCGAAAAAACGTTCGCACCACAACGTATCCGCACAGAGAACGGCGACGGCAAAAATATTCGCGAAACATACGTGACGACTGTGTCCGGACTAATGTTTTCTTCCTTCTCATATTATCGCTTGGTAACCAACCGAGGATCGTCTGAAATTCTTAACCGGGCTTTGGGACGGGTGCGAGAGAGACGGCGATATCGGCGCGCACGTCATCGCACACGCGCAGAACGCTCGCGCCGATTCGCGGAAGGGGAATCGCGTTTAAGGGTGATTTCGCCCTCGACACGCACGGAAACCATCCCCGAACGTGGCAGGGTAGCGTCGGTCCCGCGTAGGCAAATTTCGAGTGCGAAAACGGCCACTTTTGGGGTTGCGAAGTGGCCGAAATTTCGCGATGAAAGTCGCCGAGTCGGCGGTCGCGCGACGTGAGAGGAGACGTCGCAAAATGGCCGCTCCTCGCCCGGTTGATATTAATTGCGCGTTATGACCCAAAATTTGGAGCTATTGCAAATTTTTCAGAACTTTTTCGCGTTGATTTTATCGAAAAAATGCGTTTTGAGTCTGCGGGAACACTTCCGAGAGCAAATCCCGCGGCGATACGTTCACGAAGCGAATGTTTAATTGAGCGATCCCTTAAAACGGCCCGTATTTCAACCCCTGCGAGCCGGCACTAATTATTTTGATAGCGACTGTCTGGTAAATCATTTTGTGCGTCGTTTGACACATTTTAAGTGGGTTTTAATCAAAACCCGAACTTATCAACGCGACGAGGAGGTTTCCTTACCCGCGGGATCCAGAACTACCCTCTTTTTGTGGCATTTTATGTGCCGACATATGAAAATAAAGCCTAGCGACACTTTCCGCCCGCTGAATGTCAATATATTCGCGTCGGGTAACTTCTTGTCGCCCAAACAACGAAATTGTCCCGATTTCACCCCCAAATTACCATTGCGAGAAGATTAACATCACAATAAATGATTTTAAATCAATCGGGTCGATCCAGGGGGACCGTTTTGCGTGAAAAAGTTATAATTTTAAATCCGAAAATATTTTTTTTTATCCGTGAAAATGGGGTTTTCAGCGGAAGTGAAACATGCGTGTCTCCCACCAGCCGGAGTATATTTTTTTTAAATAAAACCACACATAAAACCCTAGATAAGTGATTTATTTGAATTATACAGGCGTTTCCGCCCCCGAAAACCCCAACAGTGCGTTGATTTTTATTAATTAATGACAAAATTAATTAAGACTTTCAAATAAAACATTCCTGCAAAAAAAATGGGAAGTGAAACCGAAAAAAAGAGTTATTTTGTGAAAAATTTTGTGTGGAAATGGTAAGAAATTTGGGCCAAAAGTCTATTTTTAGTAATTTAAATCCTTCTCCCCCACACAGTTCCTAATATAGGGACGCAAGAAAGCTGTCCAGGCTTCTTATGAAGTAAAATGTAAAATGGTTGTACTGTAGAGCGGCATTTATACCAAATACACACACATACCTATGTGCGCGATGCTTAAGGAAAAATCAGATTTATTTTAGTTATAAACTCAACGAGGACTTCAAAAAATTAATGTTAAATTTATTTTTGATTATAATATACTCAATTCATACATTATACCTACGATGCCGGTATTAGGAGTTGTTTTAAATAATTTAAATCAACAGCTGGCAGATGCCAAGCATTCCCTTGTATAAAGGGATTTTATCCTTAAACTTATTGTTAATTTTTCTTTACTCAAAGAACGATAAATAATTTTTATTACTTAAACCCAACAATACGTTAGAGTTGGAATATATATAGGTATACTCGGTATATATAAGGAAACTAAACGACAGGGAGCGTTATTTGGTTAATAACTTTCTAAATTTAATAAAAAGGCATCGAATTCCTCGCTAAAACTAATGAAAAATGTACCATTTAATTTTTGAAATCATAAAAATTCACATGATTGGGGCGCAAGCCGTTGAAAACTTAAGGTTTGTTTAGTTAAGTCGGCACTGGCGGGGACAGATCTTATTTGCGTTATTTCGACCACAGAAAAGCACAACATTTTTAAAAAAATTCTTGCTCTCTAAAATCTCCCAAACTTAGGTACTGGCATTTAAAAAAAAATCCAAGAAACGATATTTTAGTAAATCAAAAAACACCCCGTATATATTATATATTCGCAAAGTGGTGATTTATATTTTGCATTTACTTCAAATTGTTTAGATACTTCAAAAACGGCGCCGGCTATATAAGAACTGAATAATAAATGAGAAAATATTAGATAAAATTAGCACCATATAAAGGAAAAATGAATAAATATTAAATAATACTTTCTGGCATTATTAACCCTCAATTCCTCAAAGCCTTCTTTGGGAAGTGTCGCTTTAACCAATCTAAAATCCACAGGGTTAAAAATAGACCTGCCTTCAGGGATAAGGGGTGCCCCCAATAAGGGTTGGTGGCATTGAACTTTCGAGGCCGTAGAACGAGGAAAGCATTAGAGGGCAAGGACCGGTGGCATCCGAAACTAGGTTAAACGCATGTTCCGACGCAATAAAAGTGTACTTAAAACCCTTCGTAGTTATGATGTAGATATACTAGTATAATGACAATTAATTCAAAAAAAATAACTGACCTCATATTAATGATTACATGGAGTAAGCACAATGTTTTTTTTTATTATAGCAATGTCTGAGAAAGGCCAAGACGCTGTTCTACAACCCTAAGCTGATAAATATGTCGGTGTTTAATACTAATATGCATCTCCCCAATTACTCATTATCATTATATTGATATAAAAATGGAGCCATTAGATTATGTCAATGACTAGAGAGTATTACTTATATTATATATATTATTATAATTGACTTCCTAATATATAATAAAAAAATTAACCAATTACTTTTATTTTCAATAATAGGTTTTAGAAACACCAATATCGAAACGAATCGGTTACCCCACTGAATCAATACGTGGCACAATAGTTCAAAACAAATTGAAGAAAGTAATAATTGCTTAAGTCCTTATAATAAATTTTGAACATTCAATTTAGTTTTAAAAATGTTCAACAATTGGTTATGCATTGATTTGTAATATTGGAATATGCTAGTCCAATTCTCTATCTTTTTCATACCTAACATTAGTCGCTCCCGAATCGTCATTGCCCAAGCAGAACCCATACACAAGGCCACAATAATTAAAATTTGACAAGGCACGCATTAAGTGTTTTCTTAATTTGCATATTGTCTAATATCTTCATGCAGTATACGTCCGTTGTCATTTACTATCTAGATATATACCCAAAATTTTTGTAATACTAACACTAACAAAACAAACTTAAGGCTGCTTCAATCTAATAAAATTATGAAAAGCATTTTTTATAACATTTGAAAAGTAATAATGAAGATTTTCTAAGGGGTTTATATTGAGATTTTAAAGCAAATCCTGGTTTGATTTGGTTTGGAAAATAAGTCAATTTATTCACTACGGAATTTGTTCATCAGGTATTTATTTGATTAGTTAATATCCAAGAGACATTAAAATTTTTATAACAGTTTTGTATCTGGTCACTGTATTAATGCTTAAATTATTAATTCAATCTGGTTTATAACCACAAAAAATTTAATCCAATGTATTTACAACATTAATATTAGTTGATCGCAGTGGTATATTATATTAATAATTTCGGTCATCGAAGTAACATTAATTACGCAAAACAGTTGCCATTTTTTAAAAATTATATTTATTGCTTTTCTTTTAATGTAGAAATTTTAGACAGGTAATTAAACTATATTAATAAAGCAATGAAACATAACACAGTAAATTAATCAGTAAAAACTATTACTGTTTGCCTGATCTTTCTTGGGTGAAACAGCGGATTTACCTTTGGGTTGGAATTTAAATGTCCCAAACTAAATGCACCGAACCAGTATCTAAATTCGGCCTTATCACAATTAGGTCTCGACGATGTACATTTAGATAAGACGAAACGTGACACACTTTTTCAAGAAATGGTGCCCAATATTAAAGAAAACAAAAACACTGTTTTTAGGTTTTTACGAAACGCCAGAGGTGATAAGGATTCGTTTTATCTAACGGAATTTGATAGTCGCGCCATCAGATCCATAACAGTTTATTAAAGAAAAATCAATTTATAATTAAACCATTTAAATGTGTGGAAACCCTGACGACTACTTTCACAATTAACTATTGATCTTGCCCGAAATTTTAAAAATTCAAAATTCACGAACAAATATTTTTTGAGTTACTTTTTTCAATCCCAAAAACGTGCCATAGAAAAACTCAAAAACGTAGGTAATCGCAAATAGAAAATCAGCCAAAGATCCCTGCGCAAAAGCTTTGAAGTCGGTATATTCTCAAGTAGGTAACTGACAATCCTATCAATACAAGAAGGTTTTGGTCAGCCCTTCAAAAACAGAAACAAATTTCTGTACTCGTCTCGTCGCTATGTAACGAGTTTGTACTTTGCCCTATTCCTAAAGTAACCCAGTGTATCCAGTAGACACTCCTCAGGGTGTTTAATTTTTAATACAGTTTAGCCACTAATGACTGTACTTATAAAATAAAATTATAAATTATATAAATTATAAAATAAATTTGATTGAATAAAGCAAAATAAAAAGTATGAATCTTTTGATTAAACGTTTAGCGTATAATTCTAATTTTACTCCTTCATTTCACCAGGTGAAAAGCAAAGAGTAAAATCCAACAGTCGAACAAGATACAGTGGATGCATGCATATGTTCTATTCTATGGTACACAATTAAGACAGTTTGCAATCGACGCTGAGGTTGTACAAAGCTTACGTGGACCAGACCACAACCTTTCTCAATCCATTCAGTCTGCAGTTAAATATATCACATACATTTTACAAATTATTATGATTAGTTTATATTAGTTATAATAAGTCTTCTGCCCTTAGCACAAGAAGATTTATAAATGAAGATAACTGATACGCTCTTGCGTTTCGGTTCAAGGCTATTTATATTACATCTATTTAAATGAAATTCACAATCTAAACCTTTCGTTGGATAGGCAACATCAGCTTTGAATACAAGGTATTTCAAAAATGTTTTCTGTACACCACC